TTTGTCTTGATAACTACCGAAATCGACTGATTTGTGATTTTGTATCTTGATTGATTTTTAGCCATCTCATCCATCCCCAATGGAGACAATAGCACAGAAAAGCTAATTTAATAGAGCTAGTAGTTCTGTGTGCACGTACTCATTGTCCTTCTCTCGAGTGCACATCTTCCTCTCTTTTGGCTCCTAGTCGTGTTTTCTTCATTTACTTTTTTTGTCTGTTTTTTTTTTCTCATTTATGTGCCAGATTCTTGTCAGCTAAAGCCCAGGCTCTGCTGGCACCCGTCACACTGGACCTCTCATCACCCACAAAATAGTGCGGGAATAAAAACTAGCATGTGTAGCCCTCCAATCCGATTACCACATAAACCTCCCAAATCCCTGGACTGAACAAGAGCGCACCAGATTTAGCACCAAACACCTAAATTCCCCATCTCATCACTACCAATGCTCATGTTTATTCCTGAAGATATCCCAGTGCAGTATTATCGTAACGTTACGCAGATGAGAGCCGGCTTTGTGTTGGAATGAGAGGAACTAATCTGAGTCTTGGCACGTTGTGTCATGTGTAAATTATTCCTGTTCCACTCGCACAAGGTCAGTTCATTCTTTGTGAAGTCAATGAATGTCAGTCCAGGTTATTTATTTTTAGTGCCAAAGCACTCAACAAGGACATGAAGTGAGTATCACAGACGCTCCTTACACAGTTCAGGTGTCTTCCTGAGGAATCGTGGTCTGATACCATTTGTCTACATTGCTATGTACTCCATGATCACTAGAGGGCAGTAAGGTTAACCAAGAATAAAGAAAATAGGCACAGTACATTTTTTTCTTGTGAATTACAGCATGTTTTTACCTTTAAAAGTATTCAAATAATAAAAAATAAAGGTGTGTGTGTGTGTATAATATATAATCTTGCAGCTTCGTTGTACACCACGTGTGAAATAGATAGGTCTGAGGAAATCTTGAAAAAACAGCAGGTTGCAATTTCTGAGAACTTCAGAAAATTGCCTTGTAAATCATAGTGCTACAGTATAAACAAAAACATAACTTCAAGTTGAAACAAGTCTGCAGTTTGCATCATCCGTCTCTGTTCCACTTTTAAAATGCAACAAAGTAAAAAAAAAAAAAGAGATTGGCCTCAGTCATGGATCTCTTAAAGCCCCTCAAAACTTTGGGTTCAAATCACAAAGTTTCTCTGAAACTGAACATACGTCTGCATAAGTTTGGAAAACAAAAACCTTGTTTAAGAGTTTAACACTGAAAAACCTCTGCATCATGTGGGTGTGGTTTATTGGATTGAAAACAAAAGCAAAAAGAAAATGAACCATTAAATATTGATCCTAGACGTTTCAATCCCACTGTGGGTTGTGTGGGTAAATACCTTATTAATATAAGGAGCAACACCTTATGTTTATTATGTTTTGACATACACAGCTGGATAGTATTCAGATCTCTTCCTCTTTTTATATATTATATGACACACACACACTCATAGATATCAGTTCCCTAAATGTGCCTGTTTAAGACTGAAAAAGGGGAAAATCGTGGAATTCCTGGATCTGCACCAAATTTGTCATTCAATATGTGATGATGAGCTCACTATATAGCAGAGTAGGAAAAGTGAGTGGGTGATTTCAGACACGACAGAGACTATATACATGAGGAACACAGGTGAAACACATTAGGAACAGGTGCAGACAATCACAAGGGCAGGAAACAGGACGGAGACAGGAAGTAAAGCAAAGGACACACACAAGATTTCAAAATAAAAAATGAAACCAACAACGCTGGCTGTGTCTGAAATCACTCAATGATCATCATAGAGTGAACTTTTTATTTTGTAGTGCTGTCTGAATGTTTTTATACCCCAGTGGATTCATTGTTTCCCACAGTTTGTCGAGCAAAGATGTGTACAATCAGTGGTCCTGAACTGAGCAATATATCCCATCATACAATGTGCTCATGACATTATTTGGAGTGAAAATGGTGGAGAGACGAAAGGAGACGGAGCAGCATGTCTCAGCCTTCACTCTGAGTGATTCTTCTCCTTAGTATTATTTTATTCTTATCAAAAATATGAGGAGGGTTTATATTACCCATTATTTTCCCAGACCAATTTTAAAACAGTCTGTTTCATCATATGTCCCTAATATTTCCAGTGGCATAGTTAGATTTTTTTTATGACTGGCAAAGAGAAGTCTGTGAGTTGTTGTACGTCATAATCCTGTGGCAATGACCTAATTACCAGTGCAGAGAAAATTTGCAGAGTAGTGTCCAAAAGCTTTTTTCTTTTCTTTTCTTTTGCAGATGAGCTCACCATATTGTCCTTTACATAGAAGCCCCTTTATAGTGAGTAGGGGTTAATGAATGAGTGGTAACAGAACACAAACCCAAACACCAAGAAAACAGGAGAAACATCCTTAACATGAAAAGTCCATACAACAGAAAAATCGTCCAAAACAATCTTTCAAAAGTTCACAAGGGCATAATCATGATAGTTTTACAACCATTAACTTTCATCTGGCCCAAAATTGCACTCCATGCAGTGTAGGGGCCTTAGTGGAAAATGAGCCAAAACAAATTGGGAACCACTGCTCTACTACACCTCCATTTGGCAGGAGGAAGACAATCATTTGTGTTATTAGTGAGGTACAAACAAGCAAACAAAGCACAGAAAGTCTGAAGCCATCATCACTCGCACACACAAATCAGCAATTCCACAGAAGGTTTGAAAACCACACTCAGGGATTTTGTGACCTTGCAGCACAATCCTCTGATAACAACTGAAGGAAGTGCTGTTTTTACAGAAAGTGTAAAATTAATCAACCGAACCATCCTCAACAACAAAAATGTGCTCTTTCCTCCAAACTCATTTCAGTCACAGTCTCCCTCATCATACCCCAGACGACTGAGAGCTGTAATAAAGGTTCATCTGGTCACCTCTCTTTCCATGGACCCTATTACCATAAACACCCTCAATCTATTTATCCCATTTAAAACACTAACAACTCCTAAATGTCTCTCCTCATTCATACATTTTACAATCACCCTCTGAGATAAGCCTGAGAGGTTCTTAAAAAGCAGCCAAAAATGAGAAAATTTGTTTTTTTGCAAGGAAAGTTGCCCTCAGTATGAACCTTACAGAGTTCAATTTCCCATTTATGCAAATAGTTCTTCAGGAGACAGAGAGTCATGTATAAATTAAACATCAGACACACAGACAGGGCTGAAAGGTTCAGTTGCTGTTCAACTGAAAGTTAGAACGGGCAAAATTCGAGGGCACGGCCACGAAAACACAACTCACTGAAGCCTGAATTTGAGAAGCTCAAGAGCAGGAGAGCATGCTGGGTTCAACTCCTGTCAGTGAAAAACTCAGAAGATGAGGACACAACAAGTGGATGACTGGAGAGGAAACAACAAGTGGATGACTGGAGAGGGCTGTAACAAATACCTGTTGGAATACAGCAATGCTGAAAATAGTGTCAGCTCGGTGAACCTGAGGACTGACGCTGACAGATGGGGATGCAAAAAAATGTGGTATGCGTACACATACAAGGAGTTTGACTCTGGTTATTCCGTTGCTCTCAACGTACAGAAATAGACAAATAAACAAAAAAACAAGGACAACAAAGTAGAACAAGGTTAAGCAAATATTTAACTAATGTGTACAAGTATGCAAAAGTATGAATATATATACATATTGACAATGTATATACATATTGACAATGAAATGGAGAAGTAGTGCAATGAGTGCAGAGATGCTAGAATAAATATGGGAAAGATAGTCACAGGATACTTTATATACATGAGGTAGATTGAATATGTAT